GCCTGGTGCTGTGTCGGGCTCGGTGCCTGGCCGCAGCGGTGTGCCTGCGCTCCCAAGGCTCCCCAGCCTGCAGGCAGGCTCTGGCTGAGCCCCGGGGCCGTGCCTGCGTTCCCCGCTCCTGTGCTCGCTCCTTCTCCGACAGCTGGATTTGATGCACTTAACTCGGTTTGATGGTTGGGTTGTCTTCATGGGCATTTCCCTGAAAAAAAAAAAGTTTGTAAAAATTGTTTGCAAAAAAAGAAAAAAAAAAAAATTGCAAACAATGTTTGCAAAACTCTGCAGGCATTTTGCACGCTCGCAAAAGGTGCGTGTTCACGTTTGGATGGAAGTGCTGGGTGAGCATCTCCGTGAGCTCAGTAGTGCTGACCGGTGGAGCCCGGGTGCTCGAGATGCTCAAGGGGAGGGGGGGAGGGAGGAAAGGAGGCCGGCAGTGGGTGAGAGCTCCCAGGTGCAAGTCCGGGTTCAGCTCACGTGCCCGTGGCCCGCAGCCATACTGATGGGTGCCCCAAGCGGGAGCCCTTCCCCGCGCCCCTTTTTTGTACCAGCACCCCGTTATCTCAGGGAGGGGAAGGTCATGGAAGCGCCCACCCACACGCTCCCCTCTTGTCCTGAGCCTCGGGGTACCCCTTCCCCTCCATCCAGATCCTCGGGTCACTTATTTATTTATTTATTATTTATTTATGTAAGATTTATTTAAGTTATTTATTGGTATTTATTGATGGCTGGAAGTCGGGGGGTCATTTCTGCTGCATGGCAGGGGCAGCTGGGATTTCCCCCCCCAACCCAGCCCCCTGCATTTTGGGGTGCTGTCGCACGATTGGGAGCGCCACTGGGGACGGATGCTTGCGGGCCCCTGTGCTCCTGTTCCCTTTCGGAGCCAGGGGGGGAGAAAGGAAGGGGAATCACATCGGTGCCTGCAGGGAGGACACCCGGTGCCTGTCCCCTCCCCGCAGAAGCTCGAAGCCCCCGTGCCCCCTCCCCAGGCACTGTGCTCCCTTCCGTGCCCGTCCGTATTTATTGACCCGGCCTCCTGGCGTTTTTCCGTTCGGCTCCCGCTGGATTTGCTGTTGCCAATTTCTGGAGATGGTGAGAAGAGCCGGGACGTATGGGTGTCTCTATGGAGAAAAGACCAAACCAGGTATTCTGCTGCCGTGTGGGGAAAATCGGAAGGAGGAGAAGAGGAAAGCTGGTTTTGCAGAGTGCCTTAAACACAAATGACTCTACTGAGTAGGGGGCTTGGACTTCTGTCTCTGGATGTTATTACCAACTCGAACAAATGTTGCATTTCACTTCTCTGGGATTAAAAGAAAACCACTCGAGCTGTACTGGAACCAAACCCTGTGTTTGCTTGAGTCCGTCTGGTTGGCTTGTATCTCCAGGGCCACAGCGGCATGGGGGGGCAGGGAGGAATTCGTAGGCTCTCGGTTGTCAGCCCCTGCCTGGCTCGGCAGTGGGACCAGCGTCTGCCTCCGCTGGCTTTAAGGCCCCTGGTGTGGTGATGGGACTTGTTCCCCCTTGTCTCAACTTGCAGGTGGCTTCGCTGGTGTCCCAGAGGGGTTGTGCTCACCCTGCAGTGCCCCTTTCCCTGGGGATGCTCAGAGCAGCCGGTTTGCACAAAGCTTGTCATGGGGCCGTGTCCTCAAGCTTCCAGAAAATTGGGCAGTGAGTTGGAAAGCTCTGGAGCGGGCAGGCAGACAGCCCTTTTTCCCTTAGGAACCCAGATCCAAGGGCAGGGCTGTGTGCCGAGGGACCAGCCAGAAACCCAGGAGCTTGTGCAGCCCAACTTTGGGGAACTAAGGAAGCTGCCGAGCTTGATAAGACTGAAAAAAACTACACAGAAAAGGGATGTTTCCCCTTTGAAATTGCAGCTCTCCCACTTCTTGCAGAGAAAGAGGGGGGAACAAGAGTCAACACAAGAGAGTGGGGTTTTTCTTCTTACAGTAAAAATAATACATGGGGATAATGCAGAATTTCATTATGAAGGTTCATTTAAAAGTCATTTGGGGAAAAATACAAATATTCACTGCATAGTTCCTGGAAGCAATTAAATAGTAATATATACTTTTTTTTTTTTTTAATAATGAAAGAAGGAGGTCTCTGCAATGCAGCTGTGTTTGGGGAAGGATGTCTTCAGCAGGGTGTCCTGCCCTGCCCACCAGCGTGGAGGGCAGCGATAGGTGCTGGGAGAAGCCAGTGGCTTTGGACATTGTCCGAGGACTGACGGGCCACATCCCATGTGGGTGCAGGTGCCGCCCCAGGATTAGGCCCTGCGGGATACTGGAGGGGAGCTCAACGCATCACTCAACGCCATGAGCATCAACCCTAATAGTCCCCACTTGCTGTGGGGGACATTTGTGCCCTGAGCCAGCCAATTTCTTTAACAGCTGCTCATTTTGAGTGTTGCTGATTGCGCTAGGAACCAAGAGATGCCGGCAGACAGCCTACGGGCTATTCGGTGAGTGGGTTTCTTTCTTAGCATTATATTAAAACATAGCTCATCTTTTGACAGGTCCCCGAGGTGTAGCTGCAGGAGAGCAGGGAGGAGTTCATGTGGCTTGTATCATGCCTGCTCATGCCCTGGGAAGCAGAGTAGGACCCCCCACCCCGCAGCTAACGGCAGGCCAGGCTGAGGCATGTTCCCTGAGCAGACATCTGTCTCCTCCTTCCCACCACCGAGGCTCTGCCGTAAAGCAGGAGCGGTATGGCTGCCCTGGGCCCCTCTGCCTTGTCTGAAACAATGTGCCCCGAGACAACCTGCGTTTCCAAAATGCCTTAAATAAGCAAACACAGCAAACCCAAGGGCAATATGTGCCGCCGCCACCCACCCGTGAGCATGGGCACACAGCCCAGCTGCACAGCCTGGGTCACCAAGTAAATGGCAGATGAGGGATACTGCAGGTAGTACTGAAGATCAGTTTATTTGCTTTATTCCCTCTTCCATAAAACCTGAAAACAATCAACTTCCAGCAAGAGATGAGAAAGCAGTAAGAAGTGAGAGATTTGGCTCTGCAGCTCCTCCCCTACGCACGGGATCAAAGGTGTTAACGCGTTAGTGACAGCTGCTCCAAAAGGCACGCAACAGTTTGGAGCCCCCGAAGCTCCCTGATGGGAGGCGTGTGAGCCCAGCAGGACACCCCTGCGGGGCCTGGCGACTGACACCAAGCTTCCCACCATGCCTCCGGGAAAAGCTCGGCCGGTGCCGAACAGGAGAGACTCCACAGCGTGAGCCCTGGAGCCCTCACTGGTCTGCTAACCTCTTCCTTGCGGGGCTGATTCAAGGCAAAAAAACACCCAGGGTTTTAGTTTTAAGGGCATATGAGGGATGAAAGGGATGGGGAGGATTGGTTTAGTATTGTGATGTACCATCAGTGTGACAGTACGAGGCTGCTGATTGATGGTGCAGTGTCAGGGAAGGAGGAGCTGGCCACAGGGAAGGCTCCTGATGCCGAATGACCTGCAGCCCGGCAGGACGGATGGGCAGACCCGCTCACTCCGGTTGCGGGGTGTAACGCAGGTACTTCTTGCCCGATGGGAGGTCCTTCGTGAAGACTCCTTTGGGAAAGAGCTTCTTGGCTTCCTCGTCAGGTAAGGTGGGCACGACCATGACGCTGTCACCAGGCTGGGGAACAAACAGGAACCATGAGTGCAGCAGAGGAGCTGGCAGACTTGGATGCAGGTGGCATGTCCCTGCTGGCAGATGACACTGCCTCCCCATGAATGCTCAGCCCAAGGGCCACAGGCTTGTTCCCTGCAGCTCTGCCTGGAGCTGGCAGTGAGGATTGAGTGGGGGCTACACCAGGAGGTGTGGGTGATGTCGAAGGGAGAGCTGTGCCATCTGCCAGCCCTGCCAATGGGATCCCACAGTCCAGTTCTTCCCCACAGCACTCCCCCAGGAACAGGGAGTAACGAGAGGGGAATTTGGGCATCTCTACTATGCAGGAGGGAGCACAGCTTGCCCAAGTCTGCTCATCCATTCCTATTGCTCAGGCACCCCTGGACAGGCAGTGCTGGCTCCCCCTTCATGTGCCAAGCCCAGGGGAAAGCTGTGCTTCCCTGGGAGGTGGGCTGGTGGGTGAGCTGGCCCGACACCGCTGGGAGCTTATGCTGCAGGGGACAGGAGTCTTCAGAGGCAAGGCGGCCTCCGTGATCTGCTTCGCCCCAGGAAGTGAAGGTGGTTTGTTGTATGCTTGGCATGTGGACGCTGGTGCTGAGGGGTGGAGAGGCACAGTGAAGTGCACTGATACCCGAGTTGCTCAGCCTCCGAGGCTTGTGCCTACGGGGCCTTTCCTGCCCTGGCGGAGCAGGTGTTTGGAGCAATGCTCTGGGAGCCTGATTCTGCCTCATAACACAGGAGGACTTCTCTGGGACACTCTGCAACAGCAGGCAGGCTTCCCCAGTGACAGCTATCACAGCCAGCGGCAGGACAGGTCCAGGAGTTGAGCAGCTCTGCTGGGCTGAGGAAACACTGGCTAGCTAAAGCAGCCAGACTGTGCTGCTTGTTCCTGCTTTATCTTGGCTGCCTCAACTGGGTTTTTTTTGGGGGGAGTTTTAAATAATGCTATGGAACAGGGATAGCCACAACAAAGTAACTTCAACTAGTAATTTTCCACAAGGAGAGGACTCAGCTGTGTACATGCTGGGCAAAGTTCGGCCATGCCCACGCTGGTCCTTCCTGGCCTAAAAGCAGGAGAGCAGCAAGCTGGCCCAAGGAGGGGTGCCCCATGCTTGCTGCTTCGATGGCTTTGAGTTGACTTTGGCACACCTGGTAATGCCCTTCCTTACCACAAACAACGAGGGCAGGACCTGCCTCGGCCTAAAGCTCAAGTACTGATAGCCAGAAGGGCCAAGCCCAGTATTTGCTGGCGCCAGGGACCAAGGGCAGGGAAGAGAGGTTCCTATGGCTGCCTCCAGGCTGCAACTGCCCTGGGGCCTGGGCTGGGATCTAACTCGTATCCCAGGACCTCAGCAGCTTTCCCCACCCCACAGGTCCCCCTCCAAGGGAGGCTGGTTGATGTTCCAAGGCACGTTTTCTGTGCCCAGCTGTGAGTTTTGCTCCCTTCCTCACCTTCCAGTCCACAGGGGTAGCGACCTTCTTGTATGCTGTCAGCTGCAGGGAGTCCACCACTCTCAGGATCTCATCAAAGTTTCTTCCAGTGGTGGCTGGGTACAGGATGGAGAGTTTCAGCTTCTTATCCGGGCCAAAAACAAACACCTAAGCACAGGGACACAGGGTCAGGGGCTGGGCAGAAGATATTTGTCCAACTGAACTATCTGCTCAGCCCTGCTGCTCCTCCCTTTCCTGGGAGGTGGCCCGCTTGATCGAAGGTGTTGGGACAGGGGAGATGCCATGGTGGGGATCACTGAGAGCAACAGGTAATGCCCAGGCACAGAGAACACGGTGTTTGCTCTGGGAGCTCCTGTTTCCAATGCCAGCTTGTTTTGCTACTTGAAACATTTCCTCCCCTTGACCTGCACCATTCTGATGCAAGCACGGGAGGGAAGAGGGGAAGTCCAGCAGATTAAGCATTTTTGTCCCTTCTGTATTACGACAGGCACAACCAGGATGAGCTGGCAGCAACAGCAAGATGGAGCTGTTGCCAGGAGGCTAGCACAATGCCAGCTTCTTCCTGCAGCACAACCCATGGATCTAGCCCAAAGAAGTCAACCTAGTTCCTGAAGATGGTCATGTCCATCCAGGTAAGCTGCCCCCATCTTCAAGCCCAGCCCCACAGACACAGGGCAGGACAGCAGGCAATGCCTACTGCTGAGAAGGCTGCCATGCAGCGGTGCTCCAGGGCCAGGTACTCACCACGCGAGCAGTCAGGGGCATGCCATCCTTGTCCCGCTCATCTGGGTCCAGCATGCCCAGCTTGACAGCAAGCTCCCGGTTCGCATCAGCAATTATCGGGAAGGGGAGTTTCTCCTCGGGTTGCTCCCCATTGTACGCGTTGATGTCCTGCCAGAGATAAAATCATCGGCATGCTCATGGTCCCTGTTGTGGGTACCACCACAGGAGATAGAGGCCAGGTAGGGAGACCTCCATGCAGGCTTTACGTGTGCGGGGCAAGCGTCTGTAGAGGGTCTATGCAGAAACATGTTAGGGGCTCCTGGCCTTCCATGAAGTTTCTCTGCTTTCAGAAATCAGGTCACAAACCAGAAATCTGCATGCCAGACCAGACTCTGCCTTGTTCTTGGAGATTAGCTGTTAGGCTGTCTGTGCTCACACCCTGTCACTCACCTCTGGAACTGCCCGTGGACCAGCTACTTTGCCCAGGCAGTGGGCACAGAGAAACAGGGAAGTCCTGACCATGCTGGTGACACAGGGAGGTTTACCCACCTTTCCCCGAGAGCAGAGGTGTCCCTCTTACAACCATCTCCCAGTTAGTGTTCTACCACTATTGACAGATGCGTTGGTGTCACACTTGAACTGAACTGTGCTCTTAAGGAATAGTTTCTCTAATGGCAGAGCAAACCAGCAACTCTACAGCTAACAAAGGTCACGTGTCAAACAATTCACAGGTCTTGTGCGAGGGAGCAGCTCCATCCAGCACGTCACTCCTAGCTGACTTAACTAAAGGATCTTGAAAACAGAGTGAAAGTCTGAGTGCAGGTGCCGGGACACTGCACACTCCTTTCTGAACCACGGCTGAGACATAAGAGAAAAGCATCCCCTGCCACAGCTGTGCAGGCTCTCCCTTGTGACCACGGTTTATGAGGTCGCTCCCTGTACTAGTACAAACTTGACTCGCTTCTCGGGGAAACTGTATTTTGAGTGTCCCTGAATCTGGTCTGGACTGGGCCAAAGCATTCAAGCTATCCCTGTAGTTTGCGGTACCACCCGTATGGGTCATGCTGAGCCACAGCACGGCTGGAAGGAGCCTGGTCAAGGCAGCACAAGCAGAGCAGCTGCCAGCATTAAAGCAAATTTAATCCAAGGTTTCTGCCCCAGAACAGAGCTGCCTGTTCCTTCCATCCTCTTTATGCTACAAGGGGACAAAACTGATTCCAGCGCTGACACAAGCCTCCCGCGCACCACTGTGGTGCGTTATCAGCTGAGCTGATAATTTGACTGTACAAGTCTCTCCGCCTTCCCCAGGCTTTGAACGCGGGGGAGCAGGCTGTGTACTGCTCAGAGGGAATTTGGGGAGGGCAGGGTTGGAAATGCTGCCCCTTGGCACTGCCCACTGCTGCTCAGAGCACACCAGAGGCAGCAAGAGCAGGCAGGCCCTGCACCACTCCTCAGTCCTCCTAGGCTGATGGCGGTGACATGGGGCTGTAACCCTGCCCCAGATGCTCAGGATGCTGCAAGCAGGTCAAGCGGTGCACACGTGGCAAGATGTTTCCTTTCCAGCTTTTCTCTTCGCTTGCTTTTTCCCCGGGGCCTCCTGCGTCAGCACTGTGCTGCAAAAAGGGGCTGTTTGTCTCAGCTGGGTTGTGGTCAGGCCTGCATTGGAAGGAAGGAATCGGTTCTGTTCTCCTGCAGACCTGCCTTGTGAAGGCAGAGCCGGGAAGGAAAGCACAGCCAGAGAGGCTGGCCCAGGCAAAACGCTTCTGAATGCCCCACAGAGTTGCAGGAAGCTGTAGATGAAAGTCAGTGACATCCCACCCTCTCTTCAGAGTGGGCGCTGGAGGATGAAGAGAGCTTCTTGAGAAGCAGTATCTGAATCCTATGGACTGTAACTCATTCCAAAATGCACGTAATTTCATGACCCAGGGATCTCTGTACAAAACAGCCTCACAAACCCCACCCTATTTTGCAATAAGACACGCAAGACTCACTCACTTCCCAATGAACTTTCCAGAGTCGCAGCTGAAACCAGACATCACTGGAGTGATTTATTCAACCCTGACTCACCAAGGTGAAGGCATCAGTGGCCAAAGAGAGCATTAAAACCTCTTCTGACATGCACAACGTATGCCAGTCAACCCTGCTTAAGGAGCTCATGCATTCAGCCAACCCTTGGGGAAGCAGGGCACAAACTGGGGAGGTAAGAGAGTGGGATCAGTCCCTGGGTGAACTACAGGCTTGTTCCAAGTCCTGGAGCAAGCTTCTGGGTCTTAGCTAGGGATGGCTAAGAACAGCTGTGACATCTTTGGCTGGGAAAGCAGAGCTGAGCAAAAAGGCACGAGAATTATCGGCTATACTCTGGTCCCACCTTTCCAGGCCCCATCTGCCCACTACAATTTGGCAGAAAAGCAAGCAGAAGTTTCTCTGTGGTTTCATGCAGGATTTCAGCCATCCCTCCAGCCCACTTGCTTCCTCGCAGGCTGTGCTCCAGATAAAACCAGCTTCATCCTTTTACTACTGCTAGGAGCCTCATCCAAAGAGAAAGCATAGGTATGTAAAGGAACGTTGCACAGAGAGGTCTGCCTGCCCAAAGTTTTGCTCCCTTTTAGGACTTCTCTCTAAGTTAAGATTTAGTGAAGGAAATTGCAGTTTCTAGATCCCAATCTAGCATTTAATGCAGACTGCTTTTGTCCAGATAGGCAGCTTCTGCCAAGGCTTGGTATCTCTGTTAAGCTCTTTTTTTCTCCATGGCTGAGCTGGGGAACCTCTGGGGCACTGTCCCTGCTCGCAGACTTGCAGCAGGCCCTAACACCTCCCTTCCTAGTTCAGGTCTTTGGCTCTCCACATCATCTGAAGTTCTTCTCTGCTTTGTCAAGGACAAAGGAAAAGGATCACATGTATAGGTAAGGTCTAAGAGCAGAGCAATCACATCCCTGTCCTCTCTTATGCCCTCCACGATGCACACATGCTGTGTTCATTGCTCCTTGCACCACTCATGGTGTCGCAGACTGACACATCCTCCTGTTCCCAGGCTAAAGAGCCTCAGTTGTTCTGCACTGAAGCAAACCTGCCCAAATCTGCAAGTAGCTTTGCGCCCCCTTTGCACCTTTTCTTGTTGCCCTGTAGCCTGCAAGATGGGCGATTTCAAACGCAGGCTGCATGGAAGACTCCAGTCTGCAATGAGGTTTGTCCTCACCAATTGGATCTTTGGCACTGGAGGACTGTCAGTTTTCTTTTTGAGGGGTGCTGAGCTGACATTTTCAAATCACTGTCTCTGAGGCCTCTCCCAGCCTGACAGAAAGCTCACCACAGCTTGGACCGCTGTCCTCTGCCTTTCTCCATGTTTGTTCTGGAAGGTTTTCCAAACGTGCTACTCTGCCTCCCATCAGTCAGCATCGAGAGGCTCTTCTGCAACTTCTCCTGGTTTTACCTGAGGTTGCGCTGAATAATTCCAAAGCATCAGCAAAGTCAGCTCGTGGTTTATCTCTTTTCCAGATCACCTGAGTATGCTGAACTTCACACGTCCCTGCAAATCCTGAAGGGAGCTCACCGCTTCCCTCCCTTGGCACGACCTATCACTTCCTCCTGTCTCCCTGCAGAAAAAAGCCTGCCCTTCACAAAGCTGATGTCTTTGAAAATCTTCTTGGAAATTCAAGGACTTTGTAAAAGTCAGCAATACCCTATAGATCTTCAAAGGGCTCTAGCCAACCAGGAGATGAGATTTCCCAGCAAAAGCAAAATCCAAACTTTCCATTGTATTTAATGGGATGTTATCTGTTAATTTGACTGGTGGTTTCAGCCAGTTTGACTGGTGCAGAAACCTCATTAACTGGTGTGGGATTTGTACGCTGTTTTTCCCAGGCCCTCCTGAGGTCTGGTGGGACACGGGCCATGCACTACTCGGGTACGAAGGTCAATTGAAGCAATAAGGCAATTAGGTAATTTCTAAAGCCAGTCAGACATGAAACAATGTTTGAGTGTGGAAATTTCTCGCCTTTACTGCCTCTTATTGCATGCATGTCTCACCCCTGGAAAAATGTGTGAGAACATTCCCAATTTTAAAAGCAAAGCAAGAGGCAGGTAATTCACCCAGGGATTTTTATACTCTGGCCATATCCATACGAAATGCTCATTTTACAGCCCTACCACCTATGAGCCCTGGAGTCATACTCCCTGGCAGCACACCATTGCTAAGGCTGCATTTCAAGTTCCTTTTATGCTCCTTCAGTAAACTATTTCATTCTTGTCTTTTTTTTTTTACTCCCTCATGATGGTTTTAAATTTAACATGATCCTATTTGTGGTTTTATGTTTAACAAGCCCCTGTGTGTTCTCTATTTTCTTTTCTGAATTGCAACCTTTGAAGACTGCCTGTTCGCTTCTGACGCCTCCTTTCCTTTCCTGTTTTATTACAAAACTCTGAGGGTCTGTGGATAGATTGCCTTCCTCTGAGCTTTTGGCACCACCTTCACATACGTTTTACCCTTTCAAGTATCGGTGGGAGAGCAGTAATACTGTTTACCTCTTCTTTCAAAGTGTTAGCGCGTAGAGCGCTCTGGACTTTGTGGAATGCTCCATGAAGATGGAGCAGACCTTCCTGTTCCTGCTCTGTACTTTAGCATCTCCCATCCTACACGCTTTGAGATTCAAGTGTCTTACAGCATTATCCTCAGCAGATATGTAGTTCAAAGCCTGAGCTCTGTTCTGTGGGGGCTTTTCCTCTGGCATTCAGAGCAAGGTAGCAGCACACGCTCCCCTTGCACCTCTCCATGGTCCATACCTTGCTCCAGGAGAGGTGATCTTGCACGCTGTCAATGGAGAGGGCAATCATCTTCACATTGCGCTTGCTGAACTCGGGTGCCAGCTTTGCTGCCCGGCCAAGCTCTGTGGTGCAGACGGGGGTGAAGTCCCGTGGGTGGGAGAAGAGGATGCCCCATCTGAAACATGAGAACAGGAGATGGCATTAGGCTGAGATGTCATTCCGATTTGTACTGCAGACAAAAAGCTGTATAGATTGCACTGCACGGAGACTACTGTGGGAACAGCTCATCTCTCTGCTAAGTGGAAATCCTGTCCTGGGAACTCTTCCTTCCCTATTGCTAGAAGCCTTCACAAGATGAGCCCCGTTCATCATGCTCTGAGAAACTTCCTGTGCCTCGCTCTCCCTCTCCCTCCAGAATTCCCCAGGAGATGCTGGAATAGCCCACCGTTCCTGATGTGGAGGTGGACACCATGCTGTGTGAGGAAGTTTGGGGGAGCCACATGTACACAATGTACTCCAGAGACCACATGTGTCAGAGCATGTAGATGCCAACCTGCTGGCCACATTATTGCAGAGATCATTACTGATTTACAAGGCTATTCACTATCCTGCATACCTCATTAACCACTGTGAGGAGAAACACCCCTGGATATCATGCAACTTAAAAGAATAGGATAGTATCAAACCTTAACCCAACTGCTGCTGTGAGCTGCCGAATGTACTTCATGAAAAAATAAGAATTAATCAACTAATGGGGGAGGACAGAAGTTACCATCCCATTATGGCTACAGTTACAACAATACTGCCACCTTGCTTTTGCCCACCCGGTGGACTTTGCAGTCTTTAGAGAAGGCAAATACAAGTCGCCTACCTGGCTACCGGTGCTACGAGTCTCTTTATATAATAAGTAGACTACTTGAATAAAAAGGCAGCAAACAACCGAGTAGAAGCCAGCCAAGAAAGCTACCACGTGGGGGATCAGGCAGGAACAGATAATTTTAAGAAGACCTGCAGCTTATTTTCTTGCTAGGAGGGTTCCTTTTTCCCAATTTGCCCAAGCTCACAATGCCGACAGAAGCGGACTCAAACGCTGATTCAAGCCTGCCAAGCGCTGCCGGGAGCGAGTCCCAGACGTGCTGTCCCAGTGCCCAGTACCCTCCTGCTTGTGCCAGAAACAGAGCAACAGGCTTTGTGGGAAACAGCGCCTGAAGGCACGTGGCTTTCCGCCTTCAGCTCAGACAGGGCCAGAGACCTTCGCCACTATTCGGTTACACACCTTTGCACGCCCGGGCTCACTCTTGAGGGATGTAGGTGACACACGAGCTGATCTCTGGGACTGGTCCGGAATAAGTGCTGCTCTGGCAAGCCTGGCTTTACCCTTCCCTGGGCTCTGCCATTTTCAGAGCACCTCTGTCCCTCTCCTCAAGGACTCATCTCACTCTCTTGACATGCAGCCCACAGGAGGGGATGGGGGAAGATGGGCAGAGGTGGCTTTGCCCATTCGGAGAGGCCTGTATGCCCCTTGCCACTGTGCTCTCCTGAAAAACCGCAGCGACTGGCTGCCCGGTCTGGGTGCGGTGGCCTCCCGCACCCCCAGAGCACAACTGTGAGGGCTGCTGCTACGGCGCAATGGGAAAAAAGCATTTTTGGAACAAGCCCAAGGCACAGACTGGCCCAACTCTGCCTCCTCACGCTGGTCACACGCATGTGGGAGCCTTCCACCTGCGTTTGAGCTGGGCTCGCACACATCATCATAGAATAGTTTGAGTTGAAAGGGACCTTTAAAGGTCATCTAGTCCAAAACCCCTGCAATGAGCAGGGACATCTTCAACTAGATCAGGTTGCTCAGAGCCCCGTCCAACCTGACCTTGAATGTTACCAGTGATGGGGCATCTACCACCTCTCTGGGCAACCTGTGCCAGCGCTTCACCACCCTCATTGTAAAAAATTTCTTCCTTATATCTAGCCTGAATCTACCTTCTTTTAGCTTAAAATGGTCACGCCTCATCCTATCACTACACTCCCTGACAAAGAGTCCCTCCCCAGCTCTCCTGTATGCCCCTTTAGGTACTGGAAGGCTGCTATGAGGTCTCCCCGGAGCCGTCTCTTCTCCAGGCTGAACAACCCCAACTCTCTCAGCCTCTCCTCACAAGAGAGGCGCTCCGGCCCTCTGACCATCTTCGTGGCCCTCCTCTGGACCCGCTCCAACACCTCCAACTTAAAAAACAGAGCTACGTAACCCACCATCGTGCTCACCTGGAAGGAAACCTTTCACCCTCGGTGCCTGAGACCCGGGCACAGCTCGACCCGCCGGGTG